ATAGATCAGTGGTTCTCAACCCTACTGCCGGTCCGCCAAATATATTCCAATATAAATATTTTATACAATTATTATTATTACAAAATACTAACTATTGACGGCATGTCCATTAATTTTATGATTTTTTTTACTCCTATTGATTCGTAGTAACGGTATTCACCTAACAACCAAATTTGGCGAGAGGTCCTATGCCCATTTAAGCCCTGAACGGCTGGATGTTTGTTAACTCTACGACCTCATAGCGGCGGCTAACGTCATAACGGAAGAGTTTGATAGCACATAGTAATAGGGTTAGGATTTCGAAGCCAGTTTTTGAAATCCCGGTATTGAGTCGTATAATCTCGGGATTAAGTAGAAGATTGAAACAGCTTGCATGACAACAAAATCACGTATTTATTTCATGTAATATCGACACATAAATATTAGACTTAGAGCATCTAGGGCAATGGTTCCCAACCTCTTTTATATCGCGGCACACTATTTAGCTATTTAAATATTCGCGGCACACCTATCACAAAACACGAACATTTTCTACTCGTGAAGAGTGCAATAGTCGAACGCGAACGAATGGTTAATAGTTACCGATATTACAATTGTTTTCTTACATTAATGTTAACGAGAGCGTCTTCGAAGCACCTCACATTATTGCGACCGTTGCGCGACCGCACGGGTAATACGTGGCCTTCAAACGCGCCGCCGATCACGCGCTTAGGTTTTGCTCGCCGTTCCACATTAAGCCCTTATTATTATTACAGGTATTGTCCCCTTTTCACTACGTTATTCATTTTTGTTACAATTTAATATGTTTCTCCCATTTCCAAAATCATTCAATAGTGTTACTGTCGGCACTTGTGAGAGAAATGAAAGAGGCAAACAAACTGTATTTCATTACAACAATTTATTTTTCTCGTGTGTTTGAACTTTGCAAACAATTAGGGGCGTATTACACTGAACGGGGAGACCAAAAAACCACCAAGTTTCGTAATATATTTTGGGTTGCAAAATTAGCGTATATGGGGTCGATTTTTGATCGTTTGAATCAAGTGAACGTCAGTCTTCAGGAAAAGGAGGTTATATAATTAGATCAACTAGCAAAATCAATCTCTGTAAGATGAAAATTCAAACTCTGGAAAAATAATGCTCTCTTGGGGAATCTATCAAGTCAATATTTGGAAAGAAGTTTTGAAGGACGTTTCATGATAAATACCATGTCTACCCTCATTGTTGGTCATTTGAACTTACTTGGTGATAAATTGGCTTTGTACTTTCCTGAAGGTATTAACAGACATATGGAAGAAAACTCGTGAATAATGCATCCATTTACTAGTGAACTAACAGAAGACGAAGAATTGTTGGAACTCCGAGAGGATTTAAATCGCGAAGGAGTACTCAGAGTTTTGGGTTTCTCTATTTGAATTTCCAAAGTACAAAAATCTGGCGGGAAAGGCCGTTGCTCTCCTTGTTCAAATGGTACAGACTTCGTGTGAAGAAGGGTTTTTCAGTCTTGTTGAAATCAAGTCAAAAAAGGGAAACTCAATACTTGATATTGCTTCACTAATGCGTGGAGCAATTGAAAAGCAATTAAAACCCCGTTTATGAACGAATTGCCGAAACTATACAAGAACAAAGAAGCCACTAAAACTAAATTAAGGTAACCGTACAATTGAAACCATGTGTATATTCGCGGGTTCAATCTCAAAAAATCAGAATTATCGCGTAACTTGTTTTGTTTAAGTCACAGGGGTCTCAAACTCAAATTATCCAAGGGCCGCTGGAGCAGAGTCTGGGTGAGTACGGGCCGCATCAGGTGTTCCACAAAATTAAAATCTTTATAAAATATCTTTGTCTTTTTTAACACAAAACAAGTCGAAAACTTAAATGAACCAATTAAGACCCACTATGAAAAAAATGAAAAAAATCAAGAATACCTACTTTATTAAGAGTAAATTGTCGGTATTACTGTATTAGAAGTTCTTCAGTATTTTGCCTAGTTCCTGCTACCAGATACCTGACAGCGCTTTCTGTCGCATAGCCGAGCCAGATTGGGTTTGAGGGAGAAAGCGATTAGTAACTGTTACGTCAAAATCATGGAATACTGTTAAAACCTATTTGAAGCGGTTCCGCGATTTGAATATCAGGCCTGGTAGTTATGGTATTGGTAGGTTATCTCATATGCCTTTCGGCGGATAGATGATAAAATATTTCGTTTTTTCCTACGTGTCCATATATTATTGGACACGAAGTGGACATAGCGATCGTTTTGTTGTTATGGTGTTCTTGTTGTTTGACACATTTTGAACACCTAGTGGAAAATTTAAAAAAAACGCTTTTCTCTTTGATTACTGGACCAATTGCTTCGAAATTTTTGGTGGTCGAAATTTTTCTCCAGAAGGCTATTACTTTTATTCATTTTAAATATTTCTGTTAGCTCTGTGAGATTTTTTTTTGTTCGCTATGACGTCACCGAACGTTCTGCGGACACATATACAGGCACTTCTCTTTTTGATCACATGCCGTCGAACGTTGGCGTGACTGTGATCTAAAGATACGGTTTTGTAACTGCTTTCTTCGTGTCCATATATCTGAGCATTGCTCTCTTGTTGGACACGTAGTGGACATAACGATCGTTTCAATATTATGTTGTTGTTGTTGTTCTTTCACACGTTTTTAAAAAGTCGCTTTTCTCTTTGATTACTGGACCAATTGCTTTGAAATTTTCAGTTGTTAAAGATAAAAATTTTCTTCAGAAGGCTATTACTTTTTTTTTTGCTATGACGTCATCAAAATTATTGCCATCAGGTGGCGCTACGTGTCAATATATTTGAGCATAGCTCTCTTGTTGTTATTATTATTATTTGTCTCCATCATTTTTGAAAAAATCGCTTTTCTCTTCGAATACTGGACCAATTGCTTTTGCGTGTCCTACTGTACTGCTTCGCTTGGTGTGAATATATTTGTAGACTGTGATCTGACGGTACGGTAAACCGTACTGTACTGCGAACAGACGTGTCCATATATTTGGGCGTAGCTCTATTGTATTAAATGTATTAAGCATGCTAACTGAGCTGACTTGCGGGCCGCACTAACATTAAGCTTTCATAACAAGACTAGGGCCGCAAACTCTCGTCCTGCGGGCCGCAATTGCGTACGTTTTATATCCCTCACAAACGACTGACAGATGTTATGCCCTAAAAAAAAATTGGAAATTATATTTGTATAAAATGTAAATAAATGTTAAAACCTCTAACAAATACATGTTATAATAGATTAATGCATAATAAATTGAAATGACACACATGGAAAAAAGAAAGAACGAACGAAATAACGACTAAAAACTACGAACGGTAGTGTTGGCCGACTAGGCTGGGCAAAGCGAAGATCGTGGTGAGTGGGAGGACCGCAGAAGGCGGCAAGCGGTTGATAGCTGGGGAAAAATGAGATGTGCAAAAATGAATACACACACTAAATTCAACGCATTCACCTTCAGTAAGTAGGCTAGCGATGTGCGACACAGAAACAACAGTAACGAGAATGTGTCCGTGTATTATGCTGAATGGCTAAACGCAAAAGCGGGACCTTTGCCTGATGTGTCGGGACGGCGGACAAGACAATACAAAGCGGGACGTATGGTAAGCCTACCGATATTACACAAACAAAAATATAGTATATTCTGACGTTTATATCTATAACTAAGGACTACAACCAATAAAAAAGCATTCGGCAAGAGTGTATTCGCTTTTCAAAGGCGCGAGCTAATACGCTAAGCTAATTTAATGATCAATACCTCCTAAAATCAACTTAACAATTTCATTTATCTCCTAATAATTAATAAGTCAACTTATATCCGTATATGCAATTTTTAAACACCTACTCGCAGATCGTTTTTTCGTTTTTCAGGCTATGTCAAATTCATCGAATGACGTGAACTAGTTTCCAAAGACTGACTCTGATGAATCTTCCGTATTAATCTCAAAGAATCTTGTGAAAAAACATCCTCCATTCTTTTATCCTTGCTCCCACCCTTCATAACCAATAAATTAGAATACCTACCTCAGTATCAATCCCCTAATCTAATTATATTATTCTTAAACTGTTACCAGTAGTATTTAATAATTGGTGTAATCTGGACTACAATTTGGCAATAGTTAGGCATGTCTTTGGTGAATGAAAAGGTTTAGCCCACCTCTTCATGCACTCAACTTTGGCTGGGCAATTTTGCATTTGACTCCAATTATCATCAGCTTGGCGAAATCATTTTTTTTTGTCCTTATATTAAATACTGTTCACTCTTGTTTGGGAATTTTTATGAAATTATTAAAATGATGTGGCAAACAATTCATATTATTTTTTTTTACATTCATCTTTTATTCTAATTTCTTTTTTATGTGTTTATTTATTTATTTTTGTTTACCATATAATTTATCTAAAGCTTCTCTCTCTTTTTTTTTTTAAATTTGATTAATGCCCTATGGTTGTGTGTGTGTGTGTGCGCGAGTGTGAATGATTTGATTCAATAGTTTTAGGTGAGTGAACACGTACCACTTCTTTTTGGCAATACCTTCAATCAATTTTATTCGGTCACTCTGATACAAACAAAACACAAAACAACAACAAAGGGACAAACAAAATACAGAGGACCTGGAGGACGGGCATAACTTAATAAAAAGTTAAATACGTACAAGTACGTGCCCGTCCCCCAAAACACTCGCTGACAAAAAATGATGATGTTGTGGGCCTACTTCAATTATATTGCAAAAATAACACAGTGACAATTTTTTTTTACTAAAAAACAAGCTTGGTAAATGGATTGGATGTTCATAGCAGCAGTCTATGCACAAATCATGAATTGGGGTATTGGGTTCTTTTGTCGTTTTCGATTAGCTCACTTTAAAATCATTGTATCCGTTCCAATGCTTCCAACATTAATATCGAATTTCCACGAACGACCACCATTCAGCCATTCCAACAGGTGCAGTGATCCCATCTCTTTTTTACGCTCTGTTCCATCATACACGACTAGATTCATAAAAGGATCGAAACCTCGCAATATATCCGTAACGAATCGTCCACCATTTAACTTTAAATCCAATCTTTATCCATAAACTCATCTGGATGTGTTTCCTCGTGTGTTCACAACAGTAATAATAACATACAGTCATATGGCATCGCTGCGGTCGGTAACCATACGGGAAGTTAGGCAGTTGTTAAAAAGGATAGCTTCACACCGATTCTTTCACCTTGGCAAACCGATGGGTTACGATAAAGATTTCTGTGGAAAATAGGTTTGGTAAACTGATTCCAGGTGAGCAAATTATTTTCTTCTATGTATACCCCTCAATGGGATACTAGAACACATCTGGAGGAATGTAAACCGGGCAAACGTACTTGTGATAGTGGATTTCATACGATGTCCAAGAAAGCCGCCACCGAAAGGGCGAGTAACAGATCTTCCGATAATGAAATTGCTCCAGAGCTTATTAACTACGTTATTTTGGAAGGAATTCATCGACAGCTTCGATCTTATAGGCCCACCATAATAGAATCATCCATAAATACTTTAGTGGGTGTTGTAAAGAATATAAAGGTTCTACAATCGGGAGACCTGAGATTGAATGTGCGAATTCGGCCCAAATTTGAACGGTTGCTTGGTTGTAAACAACTAGGCAATGCCGAGTATAAAATACCAATCACAACAGAAATAGCTCCGAGATTAGACGTAATAACGCGTGCTGTAATTAGTGGCGTACCACTGGAAATGACCAACGAAGAAATACTCTATGAATAAGAAACAAAAATAAGCATTGCTCGTATGTTCGACGACTCAAATGCGATCCAAGGAAATTACCCCTTCACAAGAAAGTATCTCTTTCGAAAATACGCCAACAGTTAAAAACTGTAATAAAAGATAGCTTGTCAGTACTGATTGGTTTCGGACACTCATATTATCCCATCCACAGTAAAATTAGGTTATCTTAATTTCAGAACGAGACCATATAAGCCTTTGCCGATTAGATGTTTTCAGTGCAATAGGTATGGTCATATAGCAAAGTATTGCCGAGGTTTTAAAAGATGTACCAGATGTGGTAGTAGGGAACACGCTCAGAAAATTGTTCCAATACGCCAAGATGTGTGAATTGCGGTGGTTCACACAGCGCAGGATATGCAGGGTGTAAACGATACCGAACAGAAACTAAAATCCTTGCCATGACAGCAACAAATAATATTTTCATACACCGAGGCTAGAAATAAACGTTACCCCAAACAAAAAGTCAATCACTTTCGCAAAATGAATTCCCTGCGCTGAATCATAATAATGTGACACATGCACCCCGAGAATATAATAATTACATCCTATGTAGAAGCTGTCAAAACGAAGCACTATGAAAACGTGCCATATGCAGGATTCCCACGCCAGCCTTCTCCGAACTGGGCAAATGATATCCCTGAGCGACAATCGCCGCATACACCACAATATATGTCCACAAGAAGTGATAAATCACAGTCTAGCTCCTCCCCAGACGGCATGATATCTCTAAACCCGATGCTATTTCTTGCATTCATATCAGAAGTGATAACCAGCACTATTGCACAAAAAGACTCGGGTACATCGATGGATGTTCACTCAATTGTATCGACATCCGCAGCCAGATTAGGACTAATGATAAATGCAGACTGTATCAAACATTTGCTCTCAAATGATGTCGATTTCGAAGATCTTACCAGAGATGACGAATAATATTACATCAATTAGCATATTACAATGGAACTGCAGGGGAATCTATCGGAAATTATACGAGTTTAAACGATATATACAACAAATGAATAACAGACCAGACATAGTAATGCTCCAAGAAACCCATCTTATGGCCAAATATACGCCAACACTGTACGGTTACACATTATTACGAAAGGACAGAGACGTTCACGGTGGCGGAGTAGCAATATTTGTTAAAAAATACTTTGCCATTCATTGAAATTGAATTAATAACACCACAATCTATAGAGGCTCAATGTATTGAAGTTAACAAAATCAAATTTGTCAATATGTATATTCCGCCAAACGCTAATTTCGCACAGGACGAATTCATCAACATTTTTCGACAAATTCCGTGGCAAATACCTGATTGCTGGTGATCTAAATGCTCACCATCAATTATGGAGTAGACGTATACCGAACAATCGTGGCAATATATTGTATGCAGCTTTGGAAAAATACAACATGACGATTTTAAATACTAGCGTTCCTACAAGACTGGACTTATCTAGTATCGTCAGCGAACGTTGGTCGTTATTAGATCTCACTCTAGCATCTGAAGCGTTAGCGCATAAGTGCAAAACTTCTGTTGTTCTATCATCGCATTGTTCTTACTGGGATTAACGAAGTCACTCACAGATTGAATACACACGTACCTAAATGGAAATATGAATACGCAGATTGGAAAAAATTCACATACACATGCTCAAGTTTAATTAGCGATACTACTGAAATAGATGATATTGAAAAAGTCAGCAATAGTTTGGCATCTTATATTTATACCGCGGCGTCCAAGTCCATTCCGCGTTCAAAACCCCATACCAAAAATCGCGTCCCTTGGTGGAATAAGTCATGCGAAAAATCAGTACGTTTAAAACGAGCAGCTTACTTGAAAATGAAGAGAACATTCAGTATGCAAGATATAATTTGGTTCAAACGTTGTAGATCTCAAACTAGGAAAACTATATTAATTAAAAGCCAAACACGATTCTTGGAGAAAATACTGCGACTCCGTTGATAAGAACACTAAGCTAGATCAAGTATGGCATATGGTGAAGGCATTTTGTAGACACGGATTTAATTCTGGAATTCGAACCTTACAATTAGATAATCATAATTTTGTAACTGAATACGACATTTCCAATGTTCTTGCAACAACGTTTGCAGCTGTTTCAAGTTCGGAAAACTATGACACGAACTTTAAATCTCGAAAGCAAGAATTCAATTTGACAGAGGAAATAGCCAAACTACCACCCAGACAAGATCAAGTTCTCGACTCTCTTTTTACTATGGCTGAACTAAAAACAGCCTTGAAACCACGAAAAGCAACTTCTCCTGGACAAGACGGTATAGGATATTCAATGCTAAATCACCTTCCTCCTCATGATCTAAAAATTCTTCTGAATCTTTTCAACAAAATATGGTCGTCGGCGATATCCCATCTACCTGTAGACATTCTATAGTCACTCCTATCCTTAAATCTAATAAGCCAGCAACAGATCCCTTATCTTACCGACCTATTTCTTTAACAAGCAATATCTGTAAAACAATGGAGCGCATGGTTACAAACAGGTTAAGATGGTATCTGGAATCAAAAAAATTACTTTCACAATTGCAGTCTGGTTTTTGCCGCGGAAGGCGTACGATTGACCATATTCTCCGATTGCACGATGAAGTATATAAGTCGTTGCCGAACAAGCGTTCCGTAATTGCGGTTTTCATTGACATGGAGAAAGCCTATGATATGGTTTGGAGAGATGGACTTCTTTATAAGATCCGTGTCATAGGTATAGGAGGTTCTATGTATAAGTGGATTGCCTCTTTTTTTAAGTAGAAGAACTTTCCAAGTTAGAGTAGGAAATACTTTATCAGCGGTCAAAACAATTGATAATGGCATAGTACAGGGTAGTGTAATAACCCCATTTGCTCTTTACTATCATGATTAATGACATATCAAAAGGAATAACCTCGGAAATGGGTATTTTAGCTGACGATGTTGCATTTTGGGAAACCGACTTGAATATTGAATGTATTGTACCCAGAATACAATCGTCATTGAATACAATCCACAATTGGTGCAGACTCTGGGGGTTTCCGAATATCTAAATCTAAGTCTACATTTATTCTTTTTACAAGGAAACGAAAAAACACCTCATCTAAGTCTAAATATTGGTACGGACTCACTAACAAGGTCAATGCATTACAAATATCTAGGTGTTATATTCGACCCACTTCTTAATTATAAAAAGCATATTGAATATATTCAGACAAAGTGTATCAAAAGAATAAATTTACTACGTTTACTTTCAGGAACTACCTGGGATCTGCCAAAGGTCCATTACTCATACTATATAGGACACTCATTCGTTCATTGATTGAATACGGATTTGAAGCATATTTTTTCGCCCCACGAACATGGCTCGATCCAATCATGAAAATTCAAAACTCATGTCTAAGGATATGTTGTGGCTCAATGTCAAGTTCCAGCATCAAATCATTGCAAGCGGCATCTGAAGAAATGCCACTACACATCCGACATCTTCTGAAATGCCTAACTTATAGATGTCATCTATTATCATACAGCATAATTGATCATCCTGCTCATTCCATAATCAAAGACTCGTGGCAAGAGATATATCCAGACTCCGTCAGATTTAAGTCATTCAATATGCTCACGAAATCCTCAATATTCCAACAATTTAAAATAAAACCAAGAATAACATCATCGTTACCATACTGGAACTATGATTGCCCACATGTTGATCTTACCCTAGCTGAAACTCTGAACAAAGATGTTTCTCCCGATGTAGTACGTTTGACTTTGACGGAACATCTCGAACATTACTATCCAAACTATTTAATAATTTTCACAGACAGATCAAAAAATGAAAATGGCTGCGGATCCGCTTTTTTCGTACCATCGAGATCAGTCGAACGCAGCTACCCCTTACCTCAACTGAGCTCTTCATATAATGCGGAACTAAATGCAATCCTACAATCGCTGAAATGGGTCAACGCTCAATGCAATGCATACGAAACCGTTATTTTATCAGATTGCCAAAGTGCATTACAATCTATTGAAGCCTGCACGGATTCCTCTAATGAATTCGTCGTTGACATCAAATCTTCATATTTCCAAACTATCGCTATGGGGAAACGAGTCACCTTTTTATGGATCCCCGGGCATAAGGACATTCCGGGAAACGAACGTGTTGATTTACTAGCAAAGCGAGCTACCATTTCTCCAACCTCTGCTGCTTGTATGAACATTGAAGAAAATGAAGCTAAATCTTTGTTGTCTGATGTTTGTCATCGCAAATGGGATACCGAATATATACAAAGTGAAGATACAAACCATTTTAAGATGTTTCACCCAGAACTACCCATAATTTAATATTCAAACTTACACCGGAAGTACGAAATAATGCTCTTTCGTTTACAGACGGGACATTGTCGATTAAATAGCCATTTACAAAAACTGGGATGTCATCAAGACGTACTATGCTCTTTTTGTCACGTGAAAGAAACCGTTGCTCATTTAATTCTGTTCTGCAGACGTTTCAACAATCAACGATCCAATTTACTAAAATAAAATTATGTGCCGAATATGATGTACCATTTCGGCTTCAATATTTACTAACAGATTGTAAAATTTTATTTCATGTGCTAAAATTTGTCGAATCTACTGGTAGACCCATTTAATAGCAACAAAGAAATTATTTTAAATAATTTCCCCTAGATAAATAAATAGCCTATCACGACCTGGTGCAAAAAGCTTTGATTGAGCTGTAAGCACCATACGACCCCTATCACACACACACACACACACACACACACACACACACACACACACACACATAAACTTCTCTACTTTTAGTGGATGGGCTTTGCTCATGTTGATATTGCGCGATACAGATCACAGATACCGAAACATACAACGCGTAGCATTCACTAGTCTTTTCAAGCTGACACGTCCGCACCCGACCTTACTTACTGTATATTCTGTACGTTTTAAACCTTATCCAAGGTTTTGTTTACTCTACTGATTTTATAATCCGTTTTTATTTATTTGTTTTTACCAACCATTTTATCGCCTTTTTGCTGATTATGGAGTCGAAATAAACTTATTTCATCTACCTTATCTTACGTCAACGTTGTCAGGGAAACAACCACTAGGTACGGTTATTTGTTTTATAAGCATGATTGATTATTCAGTAAATTAAGTTATAAGCGTCAGTTCTTCGGTCAAATCTTTTAGCGCAGAAATTACGTTGACAGGTTGGACTCTCAACACAGCAGTAGCATGGATGACTAACCCGTTTTTAATGAATTGTTGCATTGGCAATGTTAATGACTTAATGAGTTTATTTGTGATATTGAAAAAAGAGTTCTGGAGTTGGGGATTGAAATTTGAAACACAGGCTCATGTTGAACAAGAAGAGAAATGATGATAAATATGTTAATACATTGCTGCATTGTGTAAATGTTTTCAATCTGTATGCGGTTGCCTGAAAGTAATAACGGTGGTAGGAATAGTAGTCAATAATAATGTTGTATAATTCTGCAATTTATCGGTAATATTGTGAAATCATTAATTTACTGATTGGTATTTTTGTTCCCTAATTCATACCTTTTGTAAAATCATGATCTTTATAATATCTTGAACATCTAATAATCTTATCAAAATGGAATGTGTATATTATTGGGTTAACTGTGTTTTTCAATTGGAATGAATACTACTGATGTCAGGATGTCAAAATCTGGGAATGTACAATGATAATGGGAATAATCTTGGATAGTAGCAATAATGTGATATGATCATGATGAATATTGTTTTTTTCACTTGTTTTGAGTTATTTCAACACATATTAGCAATAATGTGATATGATCGTGATGAATATTGTTTTTTTCACTTGTTTTGAGTTATTTCAACACCTATTAAAAATTTTTGAGGGATTTTTGATCTTTGCATGCGTAATTCTGCAATTAAAATCAATGTAGCAAAATGGAATTACTCGCCATTAAGGTCTTGTTGACATAATTCGATAAATCAATAGCAACCCAACAAGCCGGGGTTCAGGGCTGCAGGGTAAAACAATACTACAAACATCATGCTCATACAAACGATTGGTTTTATTCACTTAAAAAATTAATTCAGTATTGGTTTAACTTCAATCATTTTGTAGAACATTGGACTATCTTTTTTTTCAGATCGTTATCTACTATATTTATATGAGAAGTTTCCGGCCAATTGAACATCGTGCAAAATGCCTAATTCAGAGATATTAGTGGACACCAAAACTACATTTGCTATCTTATCAAATGCTATAAAAGACTCACTAAAAATTGAACATGAGATTTTGCAACTTATTTCTCAATTACCAATAATTACTAGTAATTATCTCCCAAGAGATCTCAGTTTGTCTGCACAGAAAGATGATGAGAGTGGAAGCTCCGAAGAAGATTTTATTTTCAAAAAGATAGCAAAGTGGGCTATTGAACAACTAAAATATCACTTGGATAATGTTGACAACAACATACAGCATGAAAAATACAAAGGACAGATTATGAAAGTTTGCCAGTTTGTTGAGATTTTAAACTTTTTGGGAGGTTGTGACTATGCCAAGGAAAAGTTTTCTAATGTGTTGTCGAAGAAATGTGATGTTATTTTACAAAATAACATGGAGTATATACAAGAAGTATCAAAGAATATTCTGCAAGTAGAGGAAAATTTTACACACCTTGTGGCCGACACTAAACATCTTGCATTGAATTCAGTTTTAACACTATTTCTATGTGAAGGTATACATTTAAACTGTAATGAACAGTTTAATTTGATATCAGATCCAATTCTCGAAAAACTAAGTGTGGAACTTTTGACGCTAGTAGATTCATTAAAGGACTCCATTTTCAAACAACTGTCTGTGCCTACGATAAGATCATCTATCGGGAGCTCTTCTCATATTAATCTATTCACAGCATTAGCCGAAACTATTGGCGAAGACACTTGTTTCAACAGACAAGAATTAGTGTCTCTGGCAAACATTGTTAATGCTTTTCTCAACTTGGAGACAACTTTACGAAGATCAGAATATACTATATTGTGGAAATCCAAGTCAAAAGATGAGGGAATGAGAAGAAGTGCATTGAAACAACGTTCTCAACTTCCAGATTTGCTACGCTCTAGTCAAGAGTCGAGTTGGGTTCGTTCATCGCAAATTTATGGAAATTGGAATTGGCAGGTTTGTTATATTTTAATTTCGCTATCTGAAACATGATTTTTAACAGCTGGGCTATAGATGAGCACACTTTTTCAACAAGCCTATCCATAGTGTTTGGTAATTAATCAATGGCATTTCACTATTAGCAAGCTGCAATTCTTTGTGCCTTTGCCACACTGTTGTTTTCAATCTGACACTTGTAAGCTTGCATCCCTGACTGTTATTTAAGATATGGTACCATGTCATTCTTCCTCTCGGTGTTGGGGCATTGGCATGATTAAAAAAAAATGAAATAATAAAACAAACTAAAGAAAAACTGGGAAATATTTTGGCTCGGTCTGTTATTGTGTACGTGTGGTAGTTGTGAGTGGCTTCAGCAAGATTATTTATTGGTGTATTTCCATGGCACTGCTTCATGTTTAAACATTCAAATTTGTTCTATATTCTTTTAATACAGTATATATATCATTGCAGTATATTTTCACATAGATAGTATAGTATATTAAAATTTTCGATATGTTTAATTGTGTTTTTGTTTTAGGAAATACTGAAAGAGATAGGTCCAGTGATCATAAAGAGCATCACAAAAGTTTTTGATGAATGTCAGACGAATGAGATCAATTCTTCAAGAAATGTTTATCATGCTAATGACTCCTGCAACATTACCACTGTACCATCGATTTCCTCAACTGTCTTGTCTGGGCCAGATGTTCCTCGTGAGGTTATAGCATGTTTTGGAGAAATCTTGAAACTGATGAAAACACTTTTACCATATGCCATTCTTGGTAGTCAGTACAGGCCTCTTTCAGGCTTTTGCACTTGCTATATTGACGAATGCTCACAATCATTAAAAAGTATGAAATCCTTTCTTATGATGTTACTGAATGATGTCCCAAGTAAAGCACCAATGAATACTTTATACTATGTTCTTGCAACATGTGACGATGTTTGCTCAATGTTGACATTTTATGCAAGTAAGATGGAACCTGATCCCAGAATACCATTTCAAGGAATATTAAAAGTATACAAAGACCTAAGCAATACCATCAAAAATATTATAACACAATGCCTAAAAGAACAATTGTCTATGTACATTTTGCATGATGCTGATGGTAACCATTGGTCTGATGTGAAGGAGTTTGGTGAAGGGACAGGCTGTTCACATTCTGTAGCAATGTGGAATCTTTTTCTACATCAATTGTGGTCTGATTTTGGATCTTGTATGTCTGACATGCAAAGAAATGATATGTTTACGGATGTGTTCACTAGCTCTCTTTCTATTTTGCAATCTCGTTATTCGAGGTGCAAACTATCATATAACAGAGCAAAGCAGCTGGTTTTTGATATTACTGCAATTTTACACACATGCAAGACATTTTTCTTTCATATCAATTTTTTTATGACTTCAAATTTCTTGAGGAATGTTCCAGTATATTCTATTGATGCTACTTCTATATCTTCAAAATTACGGACCAGCTGTGATATGCTCATTTCAATTTTGTACTTACTTTCTTGTCCCTTGGAGGTAATTGAAAAGAGTATAGCTCATTCAGAGTCTATGACTATAGACAACACTGCTAATTGGTTATGTCTTATGTTTCCTGAGATATTTCACGAAGGCTGGAATGGATGTTTTTCTGATATGACAAATAATGCTGCCGTAAAGTTCGTCCTAAAAATGGATGTTCATCCCTCTCAATCCTCGATACTTTGTCTTTTTGGTATTGTCATGAGAGACTATTTTGTAATAGATCAACTATTTACTCAAAAACTGGATTTCTCACATGTGAATGACTATGGAATGTGTGACTTTGAAGCGGATATTTTTTCAATTTTTACATCTTGTTCATCCAGTTTTCATGATGCTTTCTTCCACATTGTCTTCATATCAGTACAAAGGGATGTCACAAAGCTCACTAAATTGTCATTGCCAGGCATCGGCGAACAGTATACTGCTGAATTTTTATGGCAACGTATATTGCATTCCACATTGTCAGATATCTTGTGTCAATCTATGAGAAGACTAGGAACATACGTCAGTAGTTTAACATGGTCATTCCTTGGTTGTGAGCTTATATCTTCCCTCCCAGCGAGCATGAAAGATCAAATTTTTAGCATAAAGAATTCAAAGGTTGATGATAAAAATAGTTGTGAACTTGTATGCATTATTATACTGGTCCAAGGCATCGAACAAGCAATGTATGAATTCCCAGAATGGTTGGTAACATTCCTCATTCATTTTAAGGAAGCAGTTATAAGTGGTACTAAAGGCGATATTTTTGTGTTAGGAAATGGTATCTTACACATGCTACTTCATTCTACGTGCCATGTGTTGAGGTCGCCAGCACTTTGGGAAAAACACCATGGAATTGAATTGCTAGAAGAAGGTGTGGAATGGATGGAAAGAATATCGGATCGATTGTTACACTTTTGTGAAGAGAATCATCAATTGCCTTCGGATAATTTTCTGTATAAAACCACACTACAACATATTAATAATCTCCACACGAAGATAAACATCCATTTCAGCAGGAGAAGGGTGTCTGATCTTCATCAAGAACATCTATTTATGAAATGTGAACGAATGCTGGGAAACATGGAAATCCAGGATACAGCTGCCCTCAAAAGTGTGCATCGAATTAAACTTGTTATTCATAAAAATTATGGACTTTTGTTTGGTGAATGTTCAAATCAAAGAGGACAAAAAACTGAAGACGATAATTTACTTAACAAATGGGAAAGATTATGTGCACAGAATTCTGAACATGACGTGTCTGACATAGATAATTGGAGTAAAATATGCAAAGGTATAGTTTCTGGTCTAGATCGCGGTACATTAGACTTGTTGCTATCCCATCGATGGGAGATGAAGCAAGGTGCGTTTATGGACGAAAAACATGCTCAAATTGTTAAAAGAATAAAACTTTGTTTGTCCAGGCCATAATATATGATTTTTTATTACGGTACATCAGTTGCATACACAATTGGCGCTAGTGCGCTGCCGCTGGGGTTAATCAGCCAGTTATTTGTTTCAGATACATGGACTTGAAGGTGAAGGAAGCCGTAACCGACCAGCAGTTACTGAGAAGTCCAGCAATCCTCCCGCACACAATTTTATTGTTACCCAGAAAATGAAATACATTCAAAAACTTCTAAAAGAGGAAATAAACCCAGTGTGAAAATTTATTGAGATTGAAGTGCCAGACAAATATCGTCTTCAAGTAACGCTTGAAGGAAGATCGAGCTCAAATTCATATGTTATAAAATGTTATTACCTTTAACATCCGTACAAAAAGTATTTAAAAACAGGTATTCCCGTAACAAAAAATGCTTCTTTGATTGGAAAATGTCAAAATTTGATCAACCTATTTGGTACAACAAAAGTATTTTTTATGCCAGAAAACAATTTTTTCATAGAGTCTTGGTATGATCGTGGACGTGGTCGTGGTATAAAAGAAGTACGACACTTGGCAAATGTGGGTACTTTGTTAAGTATAGAGAGTTGACTGAAAAATATGGCATGCAATATTGTAATGAAGAATGTGTAAATTAACATCCTCTCACTGGAGTTTTACCTGATGAATGGTCATGTAATATTGGAAACTGTGTTTATTTTAGTGCATTATGCGACCCTGAAAAAAATGTATTTCATCTTATTTCCGAAACATTCGAATCAGGAAAAGTTAGTATTCATGAAAATTGAACGTGATAAAATATATACCCTGATACAAAAATAGGTAGACCTTATTTTTGTTATATGGATATTTTTTATTGTACTATTGAAATTAAGTTGCGATCTTTTTATATGAAGATGTGCCACTAAACGATAGATTATATAAATTCAAACTTGTTTTATCAGAGTTATGTGATTTCTATAAATTTAATGTTGAAACTAGTAGTCACCTTTTTATGATTGTATAGTTATGAACCAGTTTTGGGAATCTTTTACATATGGATATATTCAATAACAGAAGTTAATTCAACTTTCTCTAAGGAGATTGTATATGGGGATATGCTAATATTTTTTATAATAAATTTTTATAAATAAATGTATATAAATCCTCTATGATAATCCTTCCTGCTGCCCGGTTTTATTTATATATAAATCTTGGTTCAATGTTTCAGCACATACATGTGTGAACGGAAAGAGATTAAACAGAAGCCTGGCGCGGCGGTGTGGCTCAACGGGCTAAGCGTTAGGAATACGCTCGCCACCGCACCTCTAATTACTCTGCATGGGTTCGCAGGTTCGAATCCCATGCAGGGATGGTTATGTGCGAGAGGATTGCTGGACTCCTCGCCGTCGTTGGGTGGTTCACGTAACCGCTGGTCGGTTACGGCTTCCTCCACCACCAAGTCCATGCTTCCGAAAACAAACAATATAACTAATCCCATACCCGACTTGGAATGGTAACCGGACGAGAGGCCGTGATTCGCCATAGGGATAAGCCATCTTATCGGCTTTCCTCTCCCCCGGGATAAATATGTAAATCCTATCCTATCCTATATTGCAGACAAAAATGGCATATTTTAAGATATGTACAATCATGATTGTCTTTATATGATTATGTATGTTTATTATCTATGATTAGTGGTGATTTTAACTTATTATAAAAATAATAAATTATTCCCACGGAATGCGAACCCAGGCAGGTTAATCCGAGGTGCTTAGGTTCCCACATACCCAAGCTTTGAGCAAGAAATATGACCGCTGAGTTACATAACCCACATTCCGAAAACGCAAATAAAAACTAACCAGTTATGCCTGTCATTACGAAAACGAGGTTATGTTCACAACCATGCATAAAAATCTGCCTAGGTGAAATGATGACAGTGTGGATGGTTTACTTTCAATTGATAAACACCGTTAATATTTTGCTGTTTAGCCATTGTGTCAGAAATAAATGACGACTCCATCTGGAGAAAGGTCCATTATAGCGCAATAGGCTCTTCTTAATTGGATTTATATATTCATCCCGGTGAATAGAAAATGAATATCTGGACACGGAACTTCACTTACTTACTGACGAAAACACGAGAATTTGCACACACCTTTCGCTAACAGACCGACTCGGGATTGAGTGTTTAGTTTGCGCAATGACATTAAATAGTGTTTATTATTTATTCATATTCGGTGGCTATGATATATGCGCGCCAATGTCGCGTGAGTTTCGAAAATTTTTTCAAGTTCGCCGTTTTGTAAAATTCGAAACATTAATACAAGTACCTAATAAAAAAACTTTTCAAAGATTTCTCGAGAAATATATTCATTTGAATATGTAGAAATGCCATTAAAATTGAACAAATATCAGTTTTATAACATTTTAAACCGATTTATACAGAAACATACAATTTTAAAACAGCTCGAAGATGGATAATAGTTCAATATTAAAGATTCTAAGCTTCAGCCTACCTTGCCTGATGGCAATTCTGACCCTATGGCAATGCCGCGTGGGATCAATGCTCGGTCGGACCAAAAGTGACTATAAACTTATAGTCACTTTGGGTCGGACTAGCGACAGCGCTTTTAATAAATGTCGCATTAGATACAATTCGTATAGGCCTAAAACCGATGGGTTAATGACGGCTGTCAAGGTGGGTTATCACGGAATAATTTTGCGGCGAATTTATTCAATTTTTTATTACTTTTGGCATGAAACGCTTACGTAAAGTCGAATTCTTTTGCAAGACACGTATTTTTGAGGTAAACTCTGCAGTAATCGTCCGATAATTAGTAGGGTCCGGTGATGACGTAATTATAGCGTTCTGTGTTCTTAATTTGAACAGTATGCTAGTTACCTATTCCCGTAACATATTTTCAAGTAAAATAACGCATACTACGCTATTTTTGTCTCAAAACGAATTTAGGTGCCCTTTTTCTGATTCTGTAATCCGATTTTTTGTTATATTGTCGGTATATATATTTAAATAGACTATATTTAAATCAGCGTATATGTGCAAAATTCACAGAGATAGTTTGTCCTTAAATGAAAGTATTTTTATTCAATAAATTCATTTATTACGCGGTAATTCCTAGCAATAATCGATGTTAGTTGGCTAACTTGCAAAATTCATATGGTATTTATCGTTAACATTTCAGTAATTTTTAAACTCTCCTTTCCAATTTGTTGAATTAGATGTTAGAACCTTGAGTGTCGCGGCTCGATAACCAGTTTTGTTCCTTGCGGCTTCCCTTCCCAGTAATGTAAATATCAATTTTTGCATGGTTTTTGTATTTTTACTGGTTGGCAAAAATAAACTTGACTTGACCTCCCTAGGTATAATATAAGAAGAAAATTTCGGATTAAATTTGCTCAATTGCCGCTCTGATGTCCCCATGGAACTCAAATGAAGACTTCTAATTTGAAGCGACCATTTCAGCCTGAAAATTATATATATCGAAGTTTATGCAAACTCTTACTCCGCAGCCCATACCAATAATACCTGACGCAGTTTATTAAATCAAGTTTCATTTATTTATGGTTTTTAACAGTTCTGGTTTACGATATTCACCAAGCCATTACAAGTTTCAAGCGTATGTGTTTCATTCATACCAGTACTCCTAATTGATGCCTTGTGTTATAAATATACCACTGGCCTTAAGAGGGCGGCTTTGTCATTGCAGGCGTTTCACTCCAAACAAGCCTCTGTAAAAACATCCACTACTATGCAAGGCCAACTTTATTTTGGCTGAAATTACACAAGATAGCACTTGTGAATCTTATCATCTTTCTAATCATACTCAATATCAAACAACATTATTCCACAAATAATCAGTTCAAAATGTACCGGTTGGTGACAGCTAGACTGTATTATTAATAACAGTGTGAACTGGAAAACATATAGTGTACAAATGAAATTGATAGAATTAGCATACACGAGTTCAGGATGAGTTCAAACATCCTACTCGTTAACACAAGTTTTCAGTACTACGTCATCAAAGACCGTTTCCGAAGTGCGGTCGATTTTTGTTGATGCGGTTTCCAAAAATTTATGAGTAGAAAACTAAGTCCAGTCCATGTAGATAGTGAGCGTCAAATATTTTGACAAATTACATAGAATCAAATTCATCAACAAAAATTTTCGGTGATAACACAGCTTTAAGTTCGAGACAAATGAGATCATATTTCGGACAATGCACGGTCGTGTTACTGTTAGCTTGCGAAATGATGCAGTGTCACACTCACTCACAGCGGGGTGTTCATAAATTCCCTTCACAATTTTGTTATGAAACCAATTCTCAATATATTTCAACCAGGTTCGTGTTTTTTTACCAGTAATTTCTTGAGTATTTTTACTTTATTTGATACATCTGTGAGAGCCAAAACAATATATGGTATCGATGAATTTTTTAGGACTTCATGGACACCCTAAGGCAGGGGTGTGCAAATTTTTTAGTTTATAGCCTATAAGAGTCGCATGCAGCAAGTCAGAAATATGGGAGAGCCGCATGGCTTTTGAAATTAATAACAAATTCGGCAGTATGCAAAAGTTATTGTTTCACCTCAAAAGTAGTGAGTTAAATTTTAGTCACAATGGTAGCAGTGGCATCAAAGTTTTTTCTGTTTCCAAGCGATCAAAGAATCGAACTTGGAGAAAATTGTAAACTAGATAATGAAGTTTGAGCAGTCAAGTAACATTCTTGGTTTGAGAATAATTAATTTTCGCTGTTTAGATAATACATGAATGATGAATACTTGGCAAGTTTTTTTGGAGAATTTTCAACATTTACGACTAATAATCAGGCACTCCTTATATCTGAATTGTATGATTTGATAAAATCTCAAATAAATGACGAAATATTTACTCCGGGTTTAATTAAATAATCAAATCAACAACTCAAATGGAACATAAAACTTACAAATTTTTGTCGAATGCGTCCACAAAGTCTTCTTATTGGCAGCGGTGGAATTTTGTATGCGTGTGTGCAGTTATCTGCATATTCAGTATCCATTAGGATTTGTGCAAGACCTTCTTACCGAGCAGTCGATCGCGAGTCATTTCGAAGATTTAAGTCGAGAGCAGGCTGGCCACCCTTAGCCTATACAAGTAGAGTACTTGGTTAGTTTCTCTATGCGTGAGGCAAGATTCCTTATTACTGTCCACTTCTAGTCTCTAACAAAACGTATAAAATCTTTATTGTATATTGTAATAAAATAGTATGAAAAAATGGACAACAAAACAGTAAAATATCTTAATCGAAAACATCCTCGCCGTGTTATAAGTACTTAAAGTCGGCGCTGACTTAAATCCTTTCATGTCGGCAGTAATTTAATGCGCGCAGATTACGATAAAACTTAAAATGAAATAATTGTAAACTGTTTTCAACCCAAACGTGGACGGCGGCGCTAAGACGTGTGCGCAATATTCAATATTCCTATAAACACTGAAAACGATATTCAAGAATCGCTATATTCGAATATTAAATTCGAGTTGCACATCCCTGAATGAAACCTTGACTAATTTCTGATTACATTTTCATGACGTCATAATATCCGTTTCAAAAGTCGAAACAGCGCCGTTTCGACATATCAGTGTTTCGAAACGATCAACCCTACGGTTGTTACCAAAGAAAATGCTTCCCTGTTTATCTTAATATGTATATATATATAGTATACGTTCTCCGTGTATTTACATATCAGTTTATGCACTCTTGGTTCATTAGGTGCCCCGTTATCGTATCGTATTTTCTAGCGGACACAGTCATTTGCACACCTGGGTCTTTAAGATTCTATGCAGTTCTGTGCGATCTGTTTCACTCGGCGGAGTATTGGTAACGTTCGTGTGATGATAAACACATGCGAACTGAGCCTCCGATCGTTGGATGCTCATGTGATGTCGAGTTGGTCCGCCTCCTTGTCAGCTAGACAAATGTTCTCATCTGTCGGCTTCACAACCATAAAAGTGTGCAATATGCTATTCTATTGCTATTTCTATGTTGCCATGTTTGCCAAGATCGTTATGTTATGTAGATGCTACATAGGCAGAAGAATATCAACAAAATCACGTGGTCTATCTGCCTTCAAAATAAATTTAATGGCATAAAGTTCAATAAACAATGCCATGAGGGCATA